GCCCCATGGCCCTGGCATTCTCACAAAAGCCAGCGGGCTCAGGGCTGACAAGGGGCTGATTGATAATCCCACCGCCTGCCAACTACATGTCACTGAAACTTTGCTTGCTCCTGGGACAAGTTGGGGCAAACCTCTGCAGATAAGATGGGAGCAAGTTCCAGAAAGCCCCTGCTTTCTCCAGGGAGAGGCAAGTCGCTGCACAGCGGGGCTAGATTAACCCTTTTTGTTCTGTCAAGCACCGCGAGGCTGGGGAGGGACCTGATCCAGAAAGCTGTATGTGCCTGAGCACCGTGAGGAGGGAGGAGATAGAGAGGCCCGGAGGGCGGGCTGGAAGACACCTCGGAGATCTTGAAGGTCGAGGCACCGCTTCAGAGAGCAGGATGCTGAGGCCGGAGAGGGGAGTCCAACACTCAGGAGAGCCCTTTTCTCCGCCGCCAGCTCAGGGGCCCGCGTTCCGGGGACACCTGATACCTGTGGGCAGTGCCACCGGAGGCGTGGCTGGCCTGGCCCTCTGGCTTTGGCTGCGGGGGTTTAGAGAGAGCCAGGGGTGGGGAAATGAGCAAGACCCGGCTGGAGAGTCAGGAGGAGGATTCCTGGACCACAGCTGCAGCACCGTGAAGCTGACGAAGCTCTGGATTCCCTGGGGCCTAGCTTCAAGCCTGGCTCTACCCATCACTGCTTGGAAAACCTTGGACACGGTACCATTCAAGTCTCAGTTTCCTTGTGGCAACGGGCACTCTCAGCTCCCACTTACGGGGAAGTCCTGAGGCCTAAGAGCCCCCATCCTGCCTCCTCTTTGCTCCCCGTCTTCTGAGGCACTGGATAGTGGGATGCATGTCCAATACTTAGGACTCCCAAGTACCATCACCTGGGGGGACATTTTTTTTGTCCTTGGGCATCAGATCTGCCCTGTGAGTGACGGTCACACTCTGCCATATTCTTCCATAACCAGCACCTACTGGGCAATGCGGGTCATTGTTATTATTGCTCTAATAACAGTAAATTCTTACTTCCACCGCATCCTTCACAGTTTACAGTGCACTTCTGCATCCACGCCTCTTCTATTCCTCACAGCTAAGAAGATGATCCCTGCCCCTATTTCAGAAGGAATGAAATTGCAGCTCAGAGACGGAAGTGATTTGTATAAGGTGGCACAGCTAGTAAGAGGGCATCGCCGGGACTCACTGGGTCCTCTGACCGCCCCCCACCCACTCAAACAGGAGACAGGGAAAGAAGGTGTTCCCCTCCCCAGACTCCAGATTCCTGCACCTGAGCTGGGGTAGTGGAGCATTCCTGGTACCAGACAGTGAGGTATTGTCTCGTGGGTGGGAGGATACTGTCTTTTCCTCTGAAAGAAAAATAATCAAACTCAGATCAGCCATAGCTCATTAAAGCCTCTGCAGACATTACGGCCCCAGCAATTACCCCAGGAAAAATTATGTGCCATCACCCCAGAGCGAGGGAGGGCTGGACCCCAGCCAGCCTCTCTCTGCGCCCTGACTCCCCTCCAGCAGCCCCTCAAGGGCGC